AACACACAGCTTTCATCTGTCCCTGTTAGTATCAATGGGTGTTTATTTAAAAAACAAAACAAAAAACCCCTTCAGCTCTGCAGATGTGACAGTCTCAAAAGCATATATATCAGAGCTTAGCTACCCCTATTGTTGAATAATCTTTCTTTTTTCTTTTTTTCTTACTGTCTACAATCTCATTGGAAATTTCTTACTAGTGCAGTAATTGCACGCTGTTTTTGGATGGAAATTAGGCAAGGACACAAGGCAAGGACTTCCAGGCTACAAATCCAGGCTGCAAGGACGCGCAGCCGCTGCAGAGAACGAGCTCGAGGAGAAGCCGGGACCCTTCACCACTTGTTCCTCATTTTGAGTCTGTGCTGGAGCTTTGCAGTCTGCAAGATTATTCACCCACCTTTCTAAAGTTATTTAAGACGCGTACTGGGAGTGGGTCTGGATTTCTGCCACTTCTGCCTCTTATGTTTATGATATTAATAAACTGGTGTCAAATGTCCTGGGAACGGGTGATGTAGGTTGAAAGACCTTTGTTTCAGCCAACAATAGAACTGAATTAGTGTGAATAGGAAAAGCAAATAGGCACTTCCTGTCAGGTTTTAAGGAAGACCTTAGTATGGGGGAGCGTGTGTATTAAGAGAGTTAAACTAAATGCATTAGAAAATTGCCAATCATTTGTCAGCACTTTTTTTTTGCCAGTAAACTGTTTTCTCTGTGTTTATATGCATATATGCCTTACTAAACATGTTCACAACACTGATAAAACAACGAGTGAATGAATCTTACGAGTCCTATTTACTTGATTGGATTCTTCGGGTATTCTTCAGGAGCAAAACTATAAACCTAAGTACATGAGAATCTGAAGATACTATTTCAAGCTAAAACTTAAGAGGCCTTTTTCAAAGATTTGAGAGTATTTGAACTAAAAAAAAATCTGGGGAGGTCTCCAGAGCACCTTGATGTTCATCTGGCGTCCATCTACCGCGCTGAGGCAGCCCAGAGCAACATCGCTTTGCTCTTTGTGGAGATACAGTATTGCTAATGTTCATGAGATTCATCGGCCTGCAGAGTTAGCACCACTCCAGCTGCTCCCACCTCGAGGGCTGTGTTCTTTGACTCCGTTTATGAATGCTAAGTTCACTGTAAACTTAAAAAATAAACTGGAGGAGGAGGCTTTTGTGGTAGAGCTAATGCGATCCACTATGGAACCATCAAAGCAGCCTGAAATCAATTTAGGGTGGAAAAGTTCCTTCTCAAAACTCAGAGCCATTTTTAAATTAAATGCTTTAACCCCTTTCCTAAAGCTCAGACTTTGTAGACTGTCCTTTTAAGTGAAAGTCCTGAGCGATCAGTTCACCCTGGTGAATATTGTATCTGTTTTGTGGGTGCTTCATCTTGCTGCTGTTCATCATCTGTTTCCTCAGCGCAGCCACAGGTGTCTCGGAGTCGCGAGCGGGAGGCTTTGCATTTCCTACTGTTGCAGATGGACACAGGAAGTCAGTGGTTTGTGAGGTTTAGGTTCATTTCCTTTCCCTTTTAGAAACATCAAATTCTGACCTTGTTCAGGGACCTGCGTAAGTTTGTGGAGACTGTGTGCTTATTGATGGAAATTGGTGTTTTGGTTGTGGACAGCCACCGGTTTGCCAGCTGAGTTGTGCTGTCTGGAGAGGTGATGGCTCCGCATTTCCCCCTACCCCGCAGATTTGGTCGCGTCCCGTGTTCAGCTGGGTCTCGCTGAACAGCAGGAAGCCACCATTTAATTTGCTCCGCGTGTCCCGGGGTCACTCGCACGGGCCTGGCCGGTGGCAGGTGGTGTGGGCAGAGCTCATGGCGTTCGGCCCTGCCCGTCTGCTGCTAGGGCTGAGAGCGTTGCTGTCTCGGAGCGTTTGTTCTTTGGCCTCCTGCCTAGATCCAAAAAAGCTGGAGGAAAATGCTGATATGGTGATTAAACTTGGTGGTGGAAGCTGCAGTAACTCCGCCACACAAAACAGCCCCGCTCTCTCCTTCTGTCCTCACCTATACTGCCTCGTGCACTCCTGTGTCTGAGGAAAGAGGGTATTTCAAATGCCCTCTCCTAGCAAAGAGGTCTGCTAACGGGCTGCTGCAGGGAGTCCTGCGAAGGCAGCGAACAGGGGATGCCTTTTCCTGCTGCCTTTGGTTTCGTTGCCTGGTCACCCCAGAGAAATGGAATGAATGCAGAGAATCTTCTTGAAAGTGAATGGAGAAAAGGGAGATGAAGTCAATAGTGAAACTGGTCATGGTAACTTTAAAGTGTGCAGTCCTCCTCCCATCCCCCTCTACGTGCATGAATTGGGGATGGGGCTGGAATGCAGAAGGCCTCTCTCCTTTTATCCTGTCTACGCAGCAATCGTGCTTTGGGTTTCTGTTCCTTCCCTCGTGGGTAGTTGTGGGGTCCTGTGTCTCGGGAGCTCTGCTTTCCACACACATATGGACATAGGCAGTCTTAATCTTATTTAAACAGCCTTTCCTGTCCCACTTAACACTTTACTGCCTGGCTTCTGAGGCTTAAAGCACCGTGTATTAGGATCCAGATAAGTGTGATAAATCAGAGCCATGCAAATAATGGGCTGCTCTATCCAGCTATTTTATCAAGCTATAAGAAATCCTCTATACCTTATGGAAAGGATTTGTTTCAGTTGCTTTTTTAGAAAATTCCAAAAATTGTATTTTGAGCCACTGGGAAGGTGTATAAACAAAGAAGAAGACCCAAAATGTTTTTAAATACTGTGATTCTTTGTTCAGTACTTGGAGACATCAGATTACTCCACTTGTGTCAACATACTGATTTACTTACTCTCTGCTTAGGCAGCAGATCAACATGATTCCAAAATCTTGCACAGAAACCCTTTAGGTCTGGGGCAGTAAAGACACTCTTTGTTAGCTGTTGTGATTGGCTTAGTGCTGTAGAGTAGGTGACATGTTTTGGTTACCAAGGCTGTTTTATAAGCAAAGTTTATATAAAGTTCATGGTACATTAAAATAGATAGCTTTTTCTCTGCTAATAAAATACATTTTATTCTATTATTAGAATAAAATTTAATGCAAAATTGCATTTCAGTTTTACAGTGGGCCTTCTGGAACTGAGTCATTGGATTAAAGTATTTTTTGATTGTTTGAACTGATAGGGCCGTTCCATTCCCGTATTCCACAGGCTTGTCAGCAAGGGGAGAACATCAGCACAACCATTTCTGTCATTGTTTCTGAATTTTACTTGCGACTTCGGCAGGTGTGAGTCTTGTTCAGCATTCATGCGTTCAGTCAAGAGTCTGGAAGGCCCCCAGAAGGTAAAAGCGCCTTCCAGGGTCTGTTGGTGCGTTTTGTGTTTCAAGCATTATTTTGCTTTAGAGGGGCAAAAAGCAGGTCAGACGTGTCAAAGATGCATTTCTTGACCATTCTCTGAACGGTGTCGTCTGCCTGGTTCTGTTTGAATTGGTCATCTCATCCTCTGGCCTTCACGTACCATCTGAATTCTGCCTGACATGGTTACCTTTCTGCAGAGAGTTTTGGAGTTGCTTTTTGGATTATTTTAGGTTTTTAAGTACTCAGACTGTCAAGAAGTAGCTGTTCTGTTATCAAACCAAGTGATTATACTTTCTGGGGGTGGATCTTGATGCTTCAGGGATATTGCAGTTTTGCTGGATGTATCTTCAAAATGCAAGTTACAGGCAGTTTTATTGCCAAAGAAGCCATGTTTTATGCTTAAAACAGAATGTGCACTTGCTAGTAAAATGAAATATTTTAATAAAACAATTGTAAAAGAAAGGATTTCCTGGGCAATGTGAATTGCAGCTTTTTCTGCATTGGTGATCATGATGATATTCGTTCCTCTTGAAAAGAGACACTGGAATATAAAAGTGGTGATGTCTTTAATAAGTTCTCATTAATAATTATCCATTTTGAGTTATGTTGTAGTATATTAACCTTTTGTCCTAATTCAGCATCTCTGAATACTAAAACTATGAAATTTTTAATAGAAACTTGCCCATGAGCATATCTGTCTGGAAAGGTCACGGCAGTTTTACTCCGGAGAAGACCTCCGTGCAGAGTGAAAGCCCTGCAAGAAAGAGGGGACTTCTGCTCTTTGGAGGTGTCAGATGGTGCTTGGTGTCAAAGGATCAAGCTGCCCTGTGGGCAAGACACAAAATCAGGTTTCAGAAAAATTAAGATAAAACTTTAAACATTTTTAAAGTTTTGGGTTTTTTCTTCTTTCTTATTTTTTATGTTTATTCTTATTTTTTTATTCTTGTTTTTATTTTCTTATTTTTATAAGACATTCTTAAATCTTTTTTTTTCCCTCTCTCATTTCTCTGTATCTGTAAGAGTGATTAAATTTAGTATTCCAGTAGTGATGGGTACTCCATAGGAATGTAGATGCACTTTGCCATACATCCATCTTGTTTTTTTTTTTCTGCCAGACTGGTCTTCATCCTGTGTCTGATGTTGCACCGTGGTGTTTTAAAGTCCCAGTGCTTTGAAATGTCAGATTTCATCTTCATGTCAGAGATGTGTTTAGACACTGGAGGGGAGCCGCAGATCTGCTCTCTTGAGGCCGGGGACCGCGTATTCCTTTCGTGGCTCCGTGCAGGCCTGTTAGCGGGTACCGCTGCCCTCAGCGTGGCCTGTGAGGGCTATGGTTATCAGATACGGTTTTGAGGGTTGCTTATCTGCAGCACTGCTGCTTGAGGAGCTCGGCAGTAGATATTAGAACGCCTCGTGCTTCTCAAAGGCGCTGGCGCTCGTGACAATAGCGCCGCTGTTGTGCTGCGCGTTCGGATCCCCCCGCCTATGGGAGGTGTCATCGGCGGCGCCCGGGCCGAGCGCGCAGCCCGCTGTGCTTGCAAGGCTCCCACCCGGAGAGCGGAGCGGAAACGGCCCTCGTGCCCGCTGCAGCGCCCGGGGCCGGAACCGCCTCCACGGAACCAGCGCCGGGATCCCAGGCACCCTTTGGAGGAACAGGCCAATATTGGTTTCATTTGGCAGCAAGGGTGTGAATACAGATGAAGATCCACAAGCGACTCGGTGCACTGCGGACGATGAAATGCTTCCCCTGCCAGCTCTCGCACGCTATTAAAGCCGCCCAGTTGAGCAGCAGTGCCTTGATGTCAGTCTCTGTCTTTGACCAAGGTATGGGAATGCAGTATTCCTAGCGCTGGGTGGCTGGGTTTGAAATGCCGGCTGCTTTGCTTTCCAGTGCTGGTTTGGTGTAAAATATGCATCTTGGCTGTGTTTTGAGATTAGTTAATGAGCGCATTTTTCTGCTTATATTTTTAGCGCATTTATTTTGTCCTTGGAGAAGGAGGTGTTAAAGCTTACAGTATAGAAGATGCACTAGGATATATAGATGCATCTTTAATTTAAAAATGAAATATTAATTTTCTGTTGTGATTGCTATTATGGAACGCAGCTTTTAAATTTAAAGAAAAATTGGTCTAAGTACTTGAAATTATCTTTTAGATGGTTTATCAGGTGTGGAAGAATTCACTCCTTTGCTCCTACTAACAGAACATGCTCTGTTCATCCTGGAGGTGTGGGGATGCTAGTGCTGAAAGTTCATTCACAGATGGAGGTTCATGCAGATACTGAGAGATAAAATACAAATCTCAAAAGTGAGATTGCCTGGAACAGTTGCAGAAAAGTTGGCACGTGGCAACTCTGCTGTATAAGACACTTGTGTAACTATTAGATACAGGATGTATTAAACCAGATTCAGAAAGCTGGCATTTTATCCCGTTCTGTAAAATGTCTTTGCTGCTACATATTGCAATAATTAGGCTCCAATGCTAAGTCCTCTGACCTTGTAAAACTTTTGAGTGCCTTTTGTAAATCAAATAGTACAGTGATGAATGCCCTGTGTTCAGATTTTTATGGCTAAATCTTTGCTGTCTTTTCTACTTCTTACCCCCAATACACTGCTTAGATGAGCTGATAAATTGCCACATTATCATCTCCATTCTGAGACTGGCCTAGCTTGCAGTGTTAGATTTCCGAATGTGCTTTTTTAAAAAGTTATTTTTCTGTAAACTTGTCAATATTAAAAGATTATTTATCTTGTTTTTCTTTAATTATTCTAAAACTGTCTCAAGGCCTCCTCCGGTCAGGCTTGCACCACTCTGACTTGCATTGTGTGGAACCATCTGAATTAGATGGCCTGCACTTTTTAAATGGGTACTGAGTATCTGTAAGTTGTGTCTGTTCCCCTGGGAAAGGTACACGTGGAAAGCCACGTCTTTATCTACGTGGTCTGTGTTTTAAATCTCACAAATGTGAGAGAGAAATTATTTCATCTTCACAAATATGTGGATGAATGTGTGAAGCAACCGTAATTTTCCAGTGAGAAGGAAAAAAAGTATATTGAATTGCACTCAGGAATTGAGTTTGCGATGCAGGCACTGGTATAGCTACAGAAAAGCTTACATGATATTAGTGTACTTTACATGATGCTCGCTGGGACATTTCAGCCTGTGTTTCAGTTTCTGCAGTTCTGTGGAGCGTGGCAGGACGGATCCCCGCTGCCTCCGAGCGTCTGCAGCGGGGGGCCGCGCGCCGGCGGCCGCGCTCGGGGGACAAGGGCGCTCGTGTCCTCGGGCCGGGCGCAGACCCCGGTGCAGGGAGAGGCTGCACCGCTGCCTGCAGGTGCCCTCCCTGCGCGCTGCGCAGCCGTGTCGAGCGCGGGCAGGTTTGCTGCTGCTGCTGCTGCTTAGCGGTTTTCAGTTCTTAGAGCACTCCATAGAACTCTAGTTTAAAAAAAAAAAAAATGAAGAAACCATCCATCAGAAAACTCAGTTGCCTTGTTTATCTGCACTTGTCTAAGAATAAAGGCAGAATAGCCTGGACTGCATGCCTAAAAATCCTAGGTGCTTCCATCTTCTGATGAAAAATTAGGAAAAATCTTCCATCTTCTGGTGGAAAAAATAGTTTTTTATAGATGATTTTGCAAGGTCAGCTGCAATTTGTTGAAGGTGGTGCTCAAAGAATGGTCATTTTTCCTATTTGGATATGTGAAAACATGAAGTATATGTTTGAAAATGTAAATTGGTATACTTGTAATGTGAATTTAATTTGTTTTTTATCTCAAAAAATCCATTTTCCAAAAAACCCAGCTGTATAAACAGATTAATTTGCTCTTAGGCATGACTGATTTTTGTATGTATATTCCCATTTAATATAAACACTTACGGAAGAATATTTGTAGTAACATAAACCTCCTTCATCTAGAAAAATGATCCCGCAGGTTCCTTCGGCGTTGGCCTGAGCTCATATCCCAGTTTCCCTGCTTGTCCCAGCTCTCGCGTTCCTCAGACACTGATGCCTGAACCCTCCCACCCCAGCAGAGTTGTGGAATCGGAGCTTTCTTGATCATTTGACATTTAGGAGGAGGACTAACTTGTGGGCTTTGTCCTTGTTCCTGTGCAGCCGATATAATCTCTACGGTAGAATTTAACCATTCTGGAGAGCTACTAGCGACAGGAGACAAAGGAGGCAGAGTTGTCATCTTTCAACAGGAGCAGGAGGTGAGTCCCAACTACTTGAAGTATATTAAATACTTTGTTTCCATGTTCTGCTTAAAGATGAAGGTGGTTTTATATCAGATTTTACAAAAACTCTATGCCTGTGTAATAAGGGATTAAAATTCTAAACATTAGTTATTGAAAATTGATTGCATTTCTCATCAGTATGTGAACTAAAGGTAAGAGTTCTCTTCCTCCTTCTGTAGCAGCAGGAACTTGTCTTTGCACATAAATCCTTTTGGTCGCTTGGTGCCATCTAGTGGGGTTTGCCTGGCTGAGGAGCTGCCCACAGAGCTTGTTAATCTCATATTAGCTTCCCATAGCTGGGTAAAATCATCTATATTATCTTCCTACAGTTTAGAATCTGGCATAAACTTTTGCTGTCTTAAATTCTGTCATTCAGTTTGCCTGCTCTAAGGAGCCTCTAAAAAGCCATATTTTTAAAAATTTAACCAAAGGTTTATGTAGCTATATTTTCTCATTTACTCACGTTTTCTCAAGTGTGTTGTCTTTTAATGAACGATTCCTTAAATTTTTGATGTATCGCCCATGGCTTTTATGCCTTCTGGAGCTGGAAATTGGGGTTAGTAGGGCCTGTCTGGATCCTTGGATTCGGTCTCACACAATTGCTTTTGGCATAAACTGGCTCTTCAGTGCTCAGGGAATGAGCAATGGGAACTGTCCTCCCAAACTTGGCAGGTAGTTGTACCCTAGGGACAGCTGTCTACAGCAGGTTTGTGCAAAATTACCTACATATGATTTATTTTTGAGTGTTTTGGATGGGTTCATCTACCTCCTTCCATCCTACTGCATTCCAAAGAGCTTTGCAAACGACATCCAGAAGGAAAACCCCTAAAATACAATTGCTCTATAAGGAGTTACACAGTGTGTAGGTTTGCTCACTGCTGCAGTGCTGCCGTCTTTGGGCTGGAATGTGGCAGCTCCTCTGCCACATACAGCAGGTAACATTGCCTAAGAGTAAGGCAGGAAATGAATACTGCATCTAATTGAAGGAGGAATTTGCATATGCAGCCTGTAATTACCTAATTTGGAATTTAATGTACTTGGGCCAACACCTTTTTTCTTTTCCCCATTGAGTGATCCAGTGGCTGAAGTCTTGCTTTCCATTCTAAGGATGGATTTAATGTATTATTGCACTCTCCAGTCCTGTATAGCTTGACTAGAATACACAAAGTATGTTTAAGGCTGTATTATCATGGCGAGTGCCGAGCTGAAGGCAGAGCACCGAGTCCTGACCAGCATTTCCTAGGGCGCAGCAGTCACTCTGGAAGTCTCTTGTTCGGTGCAGTGACCCTGCTGCGCTTGTTAGGTCTTCCTGAAACTCAACAAAGTTCCTTCCGTTCCCCAGGGTGGGAAAACTGGTATAGTCGGTAGGTGTGGTACAATATTGTAGTGTCAAATTTTATTTCTAAGGCATATTTTTTACTTTGGCCTCTCTTTCCCCCACAGGTTATTGTAAAATGTATGAATTCCTGCCTGCCATTAGTATAAGGGTGTACAGCAAGAGAATGTGATGGAAGGAATGTGACCAATGTGGGCTAGCAAGGGTCATATCAAGAAGTATGTTTTACCTAGGTGTTAAGGGATGAGATGAATGGATGGACATGAGACAGAGAAGTCCCTTGTTAAGAACCTATCACAGGAAAGGCATGTGATGGAGCAACGTCTTGGAGTGTCTGGGACTGGAACATGTGTCACGCAGTGAAGCCTGGAGAGATTTCAGTGGTGCCTAGTGAGCAGCTTCAGAAGCAGTTTCAGGTTCTTTCACAGTCACCGGGCCTGGCGGAAGGAATTGAGGCTGCACGGTCCCTGCAGTGTAGTGGTGGTGCTGGGAGGCCCTGCCTAAAGTGTAGCTGTCTAAGGCAGTGGAAATAGGCTCGGTGGGATGTTCTCCCCTTCTCCAAACAGTTCTTCCATTCTTCACCTAACGGCACGTGTGACTTGTGATGTGGGAGATGTGTTGAGCTGAGGGGGGGTTGTCCATCCGAGCTCCTCATTTACAGAATAAGGAGAAAGAAGGGCGGCTCCTTAAAAAGAGAGCAGAAATCCTCAGCGACAGGGGAGTTCACAAGCTACAGAACTGTAGCCTGCTCCTAATAAACGTAGTAATTACGAATGGAGCTCCCGTGGCGTGCCGAGCGGCCTGGGCCTCCTGCGTGCCTGTGCGTCGCTTGCAGAGGATCTTCCTGGGGAAACCCGCATGGGCTGTAATTAGAGGAGAGAATAATGCAGATTTGGGGTTCTAAACAGCAACAAAAAACATAGCACAGAAACCTCCGAACAAATTACTCATGCCTAGAATATTTAGATGAAAAAGTTAGTAATTTCAGCTGCTTTGAGTTAATACAAGAAGGGACATAGAACTTTCTGTAAATTTGTGCAGTAATTATTCACAAGGGTGAGTTTCTAGAAACTCTAGGACCAAGAACTGCTACAGTGACTGTTTCTTCTTTGGTGCTTTCTAACCAAAATAGTAGAAATTATAATCAAGTCTCTAGAGAAGATATTCTTTCTCTGTTTTGTAGGCTTTTAAAATAAATCAAGTTGTAAGCCAAAGGGTACTCGCAGTAAATCTGACATAGGCAATAGTAGAATTCAGGAGCCTTAATATTTTCATTCTAATTAGCCACCTGCCTATGTATGTGGTGTGTCCATCTAGTTCTCTCCACTGCCTGCAGCCCTTACAAGTCGTTGTGTTTACTGCATATATATCTTGATCATTTAATTCTTTTTTTTCAGAACAAAACCCAGTCTCACAGTAGGGGAGAATACAATGTTTACAGTACCTTTCAAAGCCATGAACCAGAGTTTGACTACTTGAAAAGTTTAGAAATTGAAGAGAAGATCAACAAAATTAGGTGGTTACCCCAGAAAAATGCTGCTCAATTTCTATTGTCTACAAATGGTAAGTTACATACATAACTGTATGTGAATGTAAAACAATTTAACATTAACTAGGTTCATTATTAGGAGTCTGTCTAATCCTTCCCCATTCCATAGATATTTGGTAAAAAGTTATGTTTAAATGCAAGTATCTAAAGATTTGGCTATACAAGAGTCATGCTGTTTAAATATGTGGATTTTGATTTGGTTGCTTTATAGCAAAAGAATGTAGCTGAACTGTCATTCAGTCTCTTTATATGTATATAACTGCACCCGTTAGAGCTTATAGTAGTAATACTGATTCTAATTGGAAATTGCTATACTATTTTTTTTTCTGGAAAGAGCAAACTGTGGAGGAGGGCTCTTTATTTTATCTTGTCCTGTTTTCTTCCTATAATTTTGAGACAAAGCAACAGCTTTATCCTGATTTTGTTTGAATTTCCAAGCACTAGTTCTTCAGATTAGTTTTGTTGCTACAAGTAGGTAGTCTCCTCTTGTTTGAAGGCTACTTATCAAAGAATAGCACCTGTAAAGTCTAATAATGCTTAGTTGGAGCTTTGATTTGGACCTGTGTGGCTGTTTCATTTCAGATAAAACAATAAAGTTATGGAAGATCAGTGAAAGGGACAAAAGACCAGAGGGCTACAATTTAAAGGAGGAAGATGGACGGTATAGGGATCCTACTACAGTTACAACACTACGGGTGAGCAGCGCGCGGGGGTAGTCAGTGCTCCCGGCGGAGGCGGCGCGTGAGCGTGACGCTGCGCGGGGCGCTCGGGGCTCCCTCTGCGCCCTGTGGGGAGCTGCTCCGTGGGCATCTGCCCATTTTGGGGTGCAGCTCAAGCCCCAGCAGGCACTCGCTGGCTTGAGCTGGTTCCGAGATCCCTTCCTCCCCTTTGGGGGTTGTGCACGTGTTTGTACACGTCGCTCCTCAGCCTTTCACACTGCTTTGTATCTTGCAGGTGCCAGTGTTCAGGCCCATGGACCTCATGGTTGAAGCTAGTCCACGAAGAATATTTGCCAATGCTCACACGTATCACATCAATTCCATCTCCATTAATAGTGATTATGAAACATACTTATCCGCAGATGACTTGCGGATTAATCTGTGGCATCTAGAAATTACAGACAGAAGTTTTAGTATCTTTTTTTCATGTCGTTCTGTCATGTTGCTTCACAGCATGGATTGTTAAAGTGGGGAAAAAAGGTTTAACAGTCTTGAAAAAGTTATCTTGATTTCTAACCTTCATAGGATCAGCCATCAACCCCCTTCGTGTTCTAACCTTCATTCCCTCTGTTGCAAGCTTTGGATTAGATGAATATAGGGAAACTCCGGGGCAAATAAAAAGGGAACCTGAGCAGAAATCATATATGCCTTCTTTAGGCAGGCATCATATATACCTTCTTTATTATCCTAATAAAATTAGGATTTAAGCACAGTAAGTTTTATCTGGCAAAATCTGGGTGATACTATAGTATAAAATTACTCGGTGCTGAAGTGTAGCCAAAAATTTACCTTGTTTATTAAAAGCAAGCTATTGACTGTTGTAAGAATTAATTTAAAGCTGATATGGAATGTAGAGTTAGTTTTGCATTCTAGATAAATTGTGGGACTATCCAGCTTGTTCTTTGACACCTAAGTGTTGTCCTGCTTCCAAATTTCAAATGTTTTTAAAAGTCTGTTTGGCTATTTCAGATATTTTAGTGATTTGGAGAAACTTAACAGAATACATTTGTAAAGGTGAAAAATGTGTTGTGAAAATCAGAGAAAATTTCTTAACAAAATGCTGTAGATATTGTAGATATTAAACCTGCCAACATGGAAGAGCTGACGGAGGTGATAACAGCTGCAGAGTTCCACCCGAACAGCTGTAACACGTTTGTATACAGCAGCAGTAAAGGAACGATTCGTCTCTGTGACATGAGAGCATCAGCACTCTGTGACAGACATTCGAAATGTGAGTTCTGCCTTCCAGTGCTCATTCTTTTATGGAATTTGATGTTTTGCAATTAGAGAAAAGTAAGAAACCCGTAAAGTATGTACTAAAATATTAAACAGAAAATTGTTACACAGAAAATCTGTGATTCTGTAAAACTATGTGTATTTTATTTCTCTTGTATATTAAATATGAATTTAACTTTTAGCTAGGTTTTAGGTATATTTTTCCAGAGTAAGTGATTAATCTGGTAAGCAATTTTAAGTGGGGGTGTCTCCACGACAGTAGGACCAGAAATGGCTTGCTGCAGGCTGCAGTTGGGAAAACACTAGCTCAGTTTGATCCCTGATCTGTACCTGTGCTACAAGTCTTACATATGTGAATGAAGCCTCAAAATGTTAGTAAGTGCTGCATTTATTTGCAAGCTGATGTGCTTTTCTGTTAAATAAAACATCTCAGAGTATGGCAATTTTTGCACTGACAGATACTGTATACAGCACAGGAAGACTAGCCCACAATGGCAAATGTATTGGTAAATGTTTTCACTTCATTTAGATGTATTGTAAGAGAGTTGACAGTCTTTGCATGCCTGTCTTATTTCCATACAGTGTTTGAAGAACCAGAAGATCCTAGCAACAGGTCATTCTTCTCTGAAATTATCTCCTCCATATCCGATGTCAAATTTAGCCATAGTGGTCGATATATGATGACTAGAGATTATCTATCAGTGAAGATCTGGGATTTAAATATGGAAAACAGACCTGTGGAAACATACCAGGTACTCAGTGAAGATGTTAAAATCTTATAGGCTATAACTGCAAACTTCAGAAAGACTGAATCTTGCTCTAATAATCTGGATCGAGCAGTTGAATTTAGGTGCCCCTCTTGGATGATGGGGATCTGTAGAAGGTAGCTTTCAGCTATAAAATAGCATGTTTGTTTTAGAAACTTGAGTTGACTTCATATTCACCTATTCCTTCCCAGAAAAATGGGAGGCAGAAGAATCCTATGGAAGAGATGTTTGATTTTTTTTTTTTTCAATTGATACTGAGAATTGCTATAGTGGTGTTCAGGGAGTTAATAAGAAACTTGCTGGTTTCCTCTTTACCATTCATGGTGAGATGATTAGTCACTGTACTGTGACTTCGAAGAAAGTAGGTAGACACTGTAAGACTTCTAAGAGAGTAATAAGAAAGCCGTTTCCCGTGAAGCAAATAACAGGTATTACGATACCTGCTCGGAGAGTGAGAGCATTCAGAAAACGGAGATGCATCTTTTCCTTCCCCGAGTGATACACCTCACATGTATGTTCTGTGGAGCAGAATATAGAGGGACTTGATAAAGGGATAAAGGTGGTTGTCAGTTCTGTAATTTTGGAACAGAGTATCCAGGTTATTTTAGGAATGTGTCATGTTGACTATTCTTCCTTTTTTTTTTTTTTTTTTTTTTTTTTTTTTTTTTTTTCAGGTGCACGAATACCTCAGAAGTAAACTCTGCTCACTGTATGAGAATGACTGCATTTTTGACAAGTTTGAATGCTGTTGGAATGGATCAGACAGGCAAGTTTTAATTCTTCTCTGTATTCATTTAAGTCTTTTTCATTTGTGGAGGAAAAAATCTTTTCAAATTTCCTGTTTTGAGAAGAACGGCCTCAAATATCTGTCTCTCTATTCTTGGACTGGCTTGGAAAATAATAGTACTTTAGGGCAATAGCATGTGCATATTAGCCCAGAGTTATAATTGGAGTTTAGGATTATAGACAGTTACCTTATTACACTAAATAAATTCATCAGTTTACTAATCAAATGCTACAGCCACTTAAAGACTGAAGAGACTGAAATTTTTACTTTATTTATTTTTCAAATAACGTTTCCCCAGAGGTTGTTCTCAAATGCTGTGTTGCTTCTTTCTTTCTCCTCTTTCACCTGCAGCATTGTCATGACGGGATCTTACAACAATTTCTTCAGAATGTTTGACAGAAACACGAAGCGAGACATCACCTTAGAGGCGTCCCGGGAGAACAACAAACCCCGCACGGTTCTGAAGCCACGTAAAGTTTGTGCAAGCGGGAAGCGAAAGAAGGACGAAATCAGCGTCGACAGCCTAGACTTCAACAAGAAGATTCTACACACAGCCTGGCATCCTAAGGAAAATATCATTGCCGTAGCTACTACAAACAACTTGTATATATTTCAAGACAAAATGAATTAGGTTTGGCATTCCTACCTGAAGAGTCCACTTCCTGCATAGTTGAAATAGTTGAATCTAGCATTTGTACCTGTAAACGAAAGAGAATGAGAGAGGTCCATTATGGCACCCCTTTCCAGTGTTTAAAAATGTGCCATATGACAACACATTTTTATAGCTACATGGAGAAAGCTCTGTGGATCGGTCCCTGTGTTCTTCTCCATGTCTGCTAGCCATTTAGGTGAGGATAGGGCACTTTTTAATTTAAATGACTACTTGCACCATCTTGCCTAATGGACTAGATTGGACTGTATCAACATCGGTTTACTCCACTTTTTATGCCTTCCATTGTGATGACGTCAAACACAGGGAAAGCCTTCAATCATGCTATGGGATTTAATTGTGTAACCTCATTACTGTATCATTTGTGGCCCCCTTTTTTATTAAATACAGCTCATTCTTGCTGTGGCTTGTAGCATTCCTCCTCCTTCTGGCCTCCTGGACTCCCCCTTTCCCTTTTATCCCCCTCCACCTAGCCCTGGTGGTGGTGTATAGAAAACAAAACAAATAAAGCACATGAAATGGGTCCGTTTGGGGTCAGTGGTAAAGGGGGTCTGTGTTGCAACAAATGTTTTAATAAACAGTTGACTGTAATCACTCCTTGCCATGTCTGGCACCAAAAAAAAAGAGAAAATAAGGAGAAAAACAAACAAACTACTGAATAAAAGTGACAAAGAATGGAGAATCTGTTTTCTTTTTTTAATCTACCTCTTTATACAAAACTCTGTGTTTTACCTTAGATGCATGAAAATAAAAAGATGTTTTTTTGTAATGATTTTAACCAGTATTAATTATTTTTCATGGGAATGAAGAGAGGGAGGGATTTCACAAGTATCTGCATTCATTTTTTCATGAATGACAATAATACCAGCCTTAGTATGCACTGACCACTTCCCTTACAAAACCATAAACTGCTGCCAGGTTTTGTCATAATCTAAACTGGTCAGCTAGTGTGAAAATATCCTTAAAGATGCCTTTTTTTTTCTCTCTCAAACTATTGCTTAAGTTGGAATGGGATAGAATTTGTAGGTTTAAAATCTATTTTCTGGAACTATTTTTTTAGTATTTAGTTCAATCATGATTTCTTTTATGCCTTGTTTATTCCCACATGACCTCTTAAAAAGTTGTTTGAATTCTTGTCTAGCAGTACGATGTTATGTAGTACAAAATATCAAGTGATTACATAGATAATTACTACAGTGCATTCTGAGATATTTTCTGTACTTTATTGCTATCAGTAACTGAGTGGAAATGTAGTTTTTTACCACGCAAGTGTTTCTCCTGGCTTTTGGCTTTTCAAAGTTTTATTGCAGAAACTTTAAAACGGTGCAATGATCAGAACATATGTGGAGTACAGAAGCTGCATGAAGTGTTCATAGTTATTTGAGCAATTTAAACTCGTAAGCAAATAAGGCTTATCCAAAGATGAAATAGATACTGATGCTTTATGAGACTTGTGAGTTTTTACCTCCAGATGTTTTTTGCTAATTGTGCTATTCTGTTTACTTTTCCTTCAAGGAAATGTTCAGATGGATTTTTAAGTCATAGTGAACTTAACTTGACTGGGAAGATTTTCACTTTTCAGTTAACTATGTTTAAATTTAATCTGTGGCTTAGTTATGGTTAGCTATTATAATGCCTCAATTTTTTGATCAGTTAAGATACTGTTTCTGCTGTAACATTATGGCTGGGTTAGGGATCATTAACAAAATTACTATCGCAAACACTTTAATTTCATTAAGTTTGTGCTGTGGTTTGAAAATGTAAAGATTCTAATATTTATTACAGCTGGTTCTCTGAAATACAGTGTCTGTCTTGTAACAAACATGCATGCCTGACCACGAGCCTTTGAAAGGAGTCTAGTTTTTTTTTTAGCCTGTTAGTCTTGCATAAATCTAACAGCCCCCCTTCCCCTCCCAGCCTCCAGGACGGCAGCTTGCGCGGGCGAATACAGGCCTGGGACCTCGTCCTGCTGGTACCTCATGGGACTAGTTGTACTCGAGTGAATATACTTCCAAACAGCTAAGGAACAACTGGTTGAGTCATCATGGATATAGGTGTTTACAGGATGAGGGCCAAGGGTTGTTCACTCCTTTATCACAGGGCAAAGAGGTAATGAGACATTTCTTCTGCATCAGGGTTGGTAAAATTCATCTCCATTTTGCGAAGAAGGGCATGAGTTTAATTATTTACATTTTGGGAAGATTGAGAGTTATGGCATCGACTGCTGCTTTTACTTACACCTGTATCTGTCTATGCTGAATGATGCACTAAATACCTGCGCGGTTGCTTATCACAGACACGAGGGGAAGCCGGGATGAGAAGATGAGGTAGAACTGAATGAGCAGGTTCGTGCAGAGCGGAGTGCAGCCTTCTAGCAATACTTCCTTCAGCAAAACTGCCTCTTGGACCTCAGCCGTGCATGTTGGGGTGGACTGGGGGTTTTGTAGAGCTAGTCTTTGGGAAAGGTTTTTGTTTTATCAATAGTGAGGATCCCTGGCGAGTCACTTGAGGTCTAATCTATCCTTGCCAAAACCAGCTAATGACTGTGGTGTCATAGTATCCAACTAGGTAAAATTCTCTAAACACACTGTCCATTGACATATGCTGTAAATCTTATATTTTATTAATAAAAAGTATGCATAGAATATCTTTTGTCAGGTTGCTTTTTATCCTCTATCCTTACTGCTCTCTACTTACAGCTTTTGAGATTACTGATCTCCCCAGTACTGCATGATGAAAAATACTCCATTTTTACTACCTTCTATATTTTTATTATTTCTGGACCTTCTCCGACACAACAGGGAGGAAATGGTGGCATTTAAGGTAATTCTGTCCTCTTCAAGCATCTACAGAACTACAGAGAAGCTGCTGTTCCAGGGTTAGTGGTTTCTTCCAGCTCACACCAAAAACAAGGCAAGTGTTGGATTGTCGGTCGTTCTATTAGACCAAACATACAACGCGAGTTGTGTTCCCTTCCGCAGCATGAGGCCAGTGCTACTGCCCAAGTACGAAAACTACCACTCTGATGTTTTAAGTGGTTAGTTTACTGCCTGCAAAGCTACAACCGTGTTGTAAACTCCCACGAGAGTCGCTGGCAGCAGCCACCGTTCAGCGGCAGCTGTTGGCGAGCGGCACAATCCTGCGGTCCAGGCCAAGCCCGTGACTGCGGCAGGTGCTGGTGGGCAGAACGCTGGATCCTCCTCCCTTCGAGGATTGCCGGTAAGCTGAAAGTCCCCACGTGTAACCCAGCGTGCGCTTCCAAACAACCAGGACACAGCGCTACTATTAGGGAATGCCTTTTTAATACATCGGGCTCATCTGGAACTGTGTGTTTCCACAGGCATGACCTAGCTAGGAAAAGCAAAAGGAGTTTGCAGTTATTGCTTCTGTGGTCTTCTATCCCTCCAACCTTGGTATTGTAATAGCATTTTCCATCCCAGGATTCAAATTACTTTACAAATGTTAATTACATCATTCAACTGCCTTAAGGAACAACATGTCTAGTGGTTGAAACACAGGGCTGAAAGTCAGGGGTTCTGAATGCTATTTCTGGCTCTGCATTGACTCACTCTATAATTTTGATTAATTTATTTCTGACTCAGTAACGTTAATAGTCCCATTTACTGATAAATATTCACGCCACAAGTATAATGGCAAATGCTTCCTGAATGATGGAGATGACATATTCATACACCGCTCATCACATTAGCCTGTAATTGTTAGGATTACAAAGCAAGATAGGGACTCTCTAGGCAGGTTTTCCATTCAAGATAGATAAATACCCTATTGTTCTGATTCTAATCTAGAATGTACTGAACAGTACTTGCATGTTAATCAAATTTACCAGCTTTACAATTCAGTTTGGCCCTTCCGCTTATAAACAGACATTCTAATAAATTATTGAAGTTACTGCCGCCTTTTGTCTGTATGCAACTATTTCTATTCCAGTGATACCCATGGAATATCCAGATTTTCCAATTAATAAGATGAAGCATTTGGTCGCAATCACTCAGGGTATTTGTTCAAGGTCGTTAGAATCATTATGGTTGGGAAAGACCTTCCCGATCACTAGGTCCAAACCGTGAAGCCATGGCCACCATCCCGCTCATCATGTCCCCAGGTGCCTCGTCTACACCTTCATCATCACCGCCAGGGCCGGTGGCTCCACCACCTCCCCGCACTGCCTGCTCCAATGCTTGGCTACTCTTTCTGGGTAGGATTTTTTCCTAATATCTAAGCTGAATTTCCCCTGGTACAACTTGAGGCCATCTCCCCTTGAAGAAATAACTTTGTTTGAAAGACTGCTTTCAAATTTCCGCATTTTAGTATAAAGCCACCTGCCATTAGCACAGAGTAACAGAAGATAAAAAGCCTGTGATGGGGTGTTCCAGCACGGGGGGTTGTGACAGGAGTCAATACCCGCTTCCTTCTCCTTCATGTC